CCCCATGCCATGTAGGGCTTTAAAGGTAATAACCAACACCTTCAGTTGGACCCAGAAGCAAACTGGTACCCAATGCAGCTCACGGAGCAACGGTGTTACATGGGCCCTTCTTGGGGCTCCAAAAACAGCCCACGTGGCTGCATTCTGGACCAGCTGTAGTTTCCGGATACTCTTCAAGGGTAGCCCCATGTAGAGTGCATTGCAGTAGGGAGATAACAAGGGCATGAGTGACTGTTCGAAGGGCATTCTGATCCAGGAAAGGGCGTAACTGATACACAACCCGAAGTTGTCCAAAGGCCCTCCTAGCCACTGCTGCCACCTGCTCTTCAAGCAGGAGCCGTGAGTCTAGGAGGACCCCCAGATTACGTACTGGGTCTGTCTGGGGTAGTGCCACCCCACTGAGCACCAAAGATGACAAAGTCCTGGATACAGGAGCCATTAACCCATAGCCACTCTGTCTTACCAGGGTTCAGCCGAAGCCTGTTGTTCCCCATCCAGACCCTTACAGCCTCCAGGCACCGAGAAAGGGCAGTCACGGCATCATTTACTTCACCTAGGATGGAGATGTATAATTTCATATCCTCAGTGTACTGATGATACCTCATCCCATGGTGGCGGATGATCTCACCCAGTGGTTTCATGTAGATGTTGAAAAGGAGTGGGGAGAGAACCGAACCCTGTGGCACCCCACAAAGGAGGGGCTGAGGATGTGACCTTGCGCTCCCTATCAACACCGATTGGGATCGGCCCTGAAGAAAGGAGGTGAACCAGCACAATACTGTGCCACCCACCCCCAATTCCCTGAGTCGTCCCAACAGGATACCGCGGTCGACGGTATCGAAAGCCACTGAGAGATCAAGGAGAGCAAGGATGGTCGCACTTCCACCATCCTGTTCCCACCATAGGTTATCCATAAGTGTGACCAATGCCGTTTCCATTCTATAACTGGGCCTGAAACCTGAGTGGAAGCGGTCCAGATAATCCGTTTCCTCCAGAACCCTTCGGAGCTGTGAAGCCACCACTTTCTCAACCACCTTCCCATGAAAATTGTCCAGTACGGTAGGATCCAGGGCGGGTTTCTTGAGGAGGGGGTGCACCAACGCCTCCTTAAAGGCGGCTGTAAACACTCACTCCTGAAAGGATGTAGTAACCATCACCTGGATCCAACCACATGTCACCTCCCAAGCTGCTTTCATCAGCCAGGAGGGGCATGGGTCAAGATGGCAAGTGGTGGCCTTCACAGTCCCCAGGACGCTGTCCACTTCCTCAGGAGCAATAGGATCAAACTGTTCCCACATAACTGGTTAAGAACGGTTCCCCGGTATCTCCCCAGACCCTGCCCCACGCTCGGAGTCTAACTTGGAATGAATCCGAGCGACTTTGTCCTGCAGATGATCTGAAAATTCACC